TCTTCCGCTACACGGATACATTCTTTTTGAAAATCTCTTCAATTTTCATTAGACAACTATCTGTGCACTCACTATGATCGAAAGTTATTTCGACAGTACCAAATTCGTACAGATTTTCGAAATATTTTTCTAAATATGAAGTCCCATTCTATTGATCTTCTGCTACACGATACACATGATATCGTCATTTATTTTGAAAATCTCTTTAATTTGCACTAGATAACTATCTGTGGAACAACTATGATCGAAAGTTATTTCGACAGTACCAAATTCGTACAGATTTTCGAAATATTTTTTTAAATATGAAGTTCCTTTCTATTGATCTTTTGCTACACGATACACATGATTTCATGGACTCATAGTATCGTCATTTATTTTGAAAATCTCTTCAATTTTCACTAGATAACTACCTGTGCAACAACTATGATCGAAAGTTATTTCGACAGTACCAAATTCGTACAGATTTTCGAAATATTTTTCCAAATATGAAATTCCTTTCTATTGATCTTTTGCTACACGATACACATGATTTCATGGACTCATAGTATCGTCATTTATTTTGAAAATCTCTTTAATTTGCACTAGATAACTACCTGTGCAACAACTATGATCGAAAGTTATTTCGACAGTACCAAATTCGTACAGATTTTCGAAATACTTTTCTAAATATGAAGTTCCATTCTATTGATCTTCTGCTATACGATACACATGATTTCGTGGACTCATAGTATCGTCATTTATTTTGAAAATCTCTTTAATTTGCACTAGATAACTATCTGTGCAATCACTATGATCGAAAATTATTTCGACAGTACCAAATTCGTACAGATTTTCGAAATATTTTTCTAAATATGAAATTTCTTTCTATTGAACCTCCGGTACACGATACACATGATTTCGTGGACTTATAGTATTGTCATTTATTTTGAAAATCTCTTTAATTTGCACTAGATAACTACCTGTGCAATCACTATGATCGAAAGTTATTTCGACAGTACCAAATTCGTACAGATATTCGAAATATTTTTTCAAATATAAAGTTCCTTTCTATTGATCTTCTGTTACACGATACACATGATTTCATGGACTCACAGTATCGTCATTTTGTTTTCAAATCTCTTCAACTTTCACTAGATAACTACCTCTATAGTGCAACCTCTATAACACTACTAAATTATACATAAACGAAATCGTCGTATCATCCACCGCCACCATTCAAACCCGTAAAACCCAACTAGGATCGATCACGAAAATTACAAGAAAAGTCTACGAAATTACAATCAACGTCAACGTCCAACGTTTAACGTTTCAATAACCATCCAACGGAAAATCGGACGATCGCCGAAACGGTCGCCGAAATTCTCGAGACGAGAAAAGAGGTGGCGAAAGACTTGACCTCTGAAAAGAAAAAAAAAAAAAGACAGAGTTTCTCTAAGGCCCCCGTCTGTCGTGAAAGGTTGAAAGGAAGGAAGTGACCATCGAACTCTAACGTCGATGTTCGGTGAAGAAATCGCGGGGAGGAGGGGAGAGCCACGATAGATAAGCGTTCGTCGAAGGGATAGGGCACGTATGCATGTGTACATAAGGAGGGAAAGGGTACAAGTGTACGCGTTTGTTCAATTTCTACGGGCAAACGAGAGTGGGATAAAAGCGGTGGAGAATTGCGAAATGCTTGGCCCGCATTCGCTGTAGTTCCAGCCGTCCATTGTCCGCGTGCACAATGGGAATCTTTCTAGCGACGCTTGTTGCTCGGATGCTAGCTGACTAAACTTTGCCCGCCGACCACGTGCGTCCTGCACACCCCGCAATTTCGCGCACAAACAGCCACGTATGTATATATATATATATATGTGTGTGTGTGTATATATATACACGCGCTGTATATAACGCAGGGTGAGGGGAGGAGTGAGGAGGAGGAGGAGGCAGAAATACGTGTAGAGACAGACGGTGTCAGCCGTGTGGTAGTTGGCGTTCGTGTGTAAGCATACTGGGATTCGCCTGGGGATAGGTCAATCAATGACCTATTTAAAACACCTTCAGTCTGACCTCGCCGCTCACTATCTCCTGCCGCCATGGTACGCCGAACCGAAACTTCCGCTCTGCGTACAAGCGTTTTCTTTTTTTTTTTCTTTTTTTTTTTTTTATTATCTATCTACTTCGACTTCTCCGCCTGTTCTTTTCTTCTTCTTTTCTTTTTTGTTTTCTTTTTTTCTTTTCGTCTCCGCGTGAAAATTAGCCGACAGAAGCCACCAGCTCAATGACTAAATTTTTCACGCGACAGTTCGCGGTCTATCGACGAGCTTCTCGACGAATTTCAATTTATAAAGTTATTGTATTTATATTATAAAGTATTTATTATAAAGTTATAAGTATTATAAAGTTATTGTATTTATATTATAAAGTATTTATTATGAGTATTATAAAGTTATAAAGTATTATTTATTATAAAGTTATAAGTATTATAAAGTTATTGTATTTATATTATAAAGTATTTGTTATAAAGTTATAAGTATTATAATGTTACAAAGTATTATAAAGTTATAAAGTATTATTTATTATAAAATTATAAAGTATTATTTATTATAAAGTATTTATTATAAAGTTATAAAGTATTATTTATTATAAAGTATTTATTGTAAAGTTATTGTATTTATATTATAAAGTATTTATTATAAAGTTATAAAGTTATAAAGTATTTATTATAAAGTATTTATTATTTCCTTTTAAATCGGGGAGAACTTCGTCCTTGATTTCTTTTCTAACGTGTCGTTGCGTACTCTCAATTTTTTATCAAAGTTCAAGGAAAAACTTTCGTGATCCCTTGTGTCTAATTTTTATACGTCGACATGTTGTCACGTTTAATATCTCGCGAGAGATTTTCGTCAACTCAGAAGAAGAAGAAAAAGTAAAAATATGAAATTTTGCGTAAATGTAATTTCAGTGTAATCTCGACTTTTCATTGTATCGTGAATAATCAACGAAACTGCACAAGACAGAGGGAGAAAGTTCAATTGAAAGTTGTACAGTTTTCTTTTTTTTTTTTTTTTTATGATCTATGTCACGGTGATCGAGTAATTTTCAAAAAAAAGAGAGGAAACTTTTGTACATTTTTTCATCGCTATGATACAGGCCAGGATACAACTTTTAATTCAACTGTTTTTCTACGTCTTAAGAGATAATATCAGATTTGTATCGATTTAACGGAGAAGCATGATAGAAAGAATTTGTAATAATTAACATTAATCAACTAATTACAAAAAAACATAAGTATATTCGAGTTCGTATTGCCGTATCGAACACGTTCCATTCTAATCGTCGTTCGAATATATTAAAAGACACCTGAAATCTTCCATTTCATTTTCACGTTTCGTACATCTCTTTTGAAAACACCGCGATTTGTTTGGGAAAATGCTACAGGATGTTGATGAAACGCGGAAAATATTTAATTGAAAAGCAGGAGCATAACGCAAACATTGACATTGGCGAATAAATGAAATCTTTGGCGATGAGTATATGTTAAAAGTTGTAATTGACATTTAATGTTCGATGAAAATTTGTTTTCAGATCTATTTTCATCTGAAGCTAAACAACGAATATGCATATACGTATATACGTTATAAACGAAGAGTTAAAATAGAGTTCTGAAATTTTCGATTCATGTACGAAGCGTCGCTCATTTTTTCATCACGAACGAGTATAGAGTCGATGTATCGACGAGATAAGATTCTCATGTACGTTACTGCGTTCGTCTAATAATAATAATTAAATATAATAAATAAAATATAATAAATAAAAAATAATAAATAATAATAGTAATAAATAATTAATAAATAATAATAATAATAAATAAATAATAAATAATGATAAATAATGATAATAATTAAATAAAATATAATAATAAAATAATAAATAATAATAATAAATAAATAATAAATAATGATAATAATTAAATAAAATATAATAATAAAATAATAAATAATAATAAATAAATAATAAATAATGATAATAATTAAATAAAATATAATAATAAAATAATAAATAATAATAGTAATAAAATATAAGGTAAGGTCTAATAATAATTGTAAAAAATTGTAAAAAAAGGTTGTAAGGTCTAATGATAATTGTAAAAAAATTTTCTAGATCAAAGTTAAATTAATTTTCGACGAGTAATAAATTTTAATTCGAACAGAATGTACAGACTGTGCAAATACACGAGGTGAGCAGAACAAATTGATCGGAGACTTTAGAAACTCCTACTGTAGAATTTTCATGCCTTGTATTTCACCGTGGCTAGTTTATATTTTAGTTAGTGTTTGCGATTTTTGAATTTCTGTCGACTGAAATCCCTGGAATTGCTTGTGAAAAGATCCATAATTGCATTTCATCATCTTTTACGCGCCAGTAATTCGTAAAAGAACCCACGTATAATAAAGACCCGCTCGAGTGATTCGATTAAACGACAAAAGGAAGAGATGCAGAGAACGTGTGCGTAAGAATTGTGGAAACGAAAGGCAAGATTCGACTCGATCGGCCAGCATACATTGCAACACCGTATAAATCCGTACGACGCGCAGGAACTCTTGAAACGCTCCAAGCTTGTAATAAAAATGCTTTACGAGCGTGATCGAGAGAAAGAGAAATGAAAAGGTGAGGAGGGGGGAGGAGGAGGAGGGAGAGCCAGTGATATTCAGTGAAAAAGAATTTTCGTGGATTGGGCGTGCGGCGTTCATTCGCTGGAATGAAAAATAAATCTCGAAAACGAAGAAGCTAAAAGCTAAACGCTACGCTTCTCGAAAATATTGTGAACGGTGTAAACGCGACGAAATCGACGCGTCACATGTACATACATATATACGTATATATATATGTACTTGTTTTTCGTCTCGCGAGAGCTGGAACAATCGCGGTGACAATGAAAACGATGGAATAAAAGTAATGATATCACCAGTTTGAGTGAACGACAGCCAAGTCAGTCAGTTGCCTACGATCCAAAAGGATATGGATTAGTGATGAGCGCCAGACACCAGTTGCGCGGTCGTGTAGTCTGGTCGAGGTATCGCAGTGCAACCGGCACGAAACCAGGATAGGGTAGCTCGTCACCGTCCACATCGTCCATCCCGTCTTCCTCGTTCTCATCTTCCTCTTCGTCCTCTTGGTCATCGTCGTCGTCGTCGTCGTCGTCGTCGTCGTCGTCATCGTCGTCATCGTCCTCGTCGTCGTCTTCTTCTTCCTCCTCCTCCTCCTCCTCGTCGTCGTCGTCGTCGTTTTGTTGAACGATCTGTCTATTGCTCGACTGGCCACCCCCATCTTCGTCCTCGTCGTCCTCGAGGTCACTGAGTTCGGCAACATCACTGTCAGAACCTTGTTCGCCATTCCCTGCCCCGACAACCTTACTCGCCGGACGATACCGATATCCCTGGGGATAGTGCAACGACATTGCTGTTACCCGGCTTCTGAGATCTCGTCCAGCAGCAGTCGACACGCGGATCGAACGAATACGCCGTATCACGGAACGATGCCTCGTGGCGTCTCAACGGCAGCCTGGCACGAGGACCATCCGCGCGATCGAAACCACTGTCTTCTCGCTGGAAGATTTGTCGCGGGGAAGAGATATCCGGAGTAGTCGCGCTGGTGACAACGTAGACGTCGCTGCTCCGAACGACGAGGCCAGGTGGACAGGTAAGAACGACATCGAGGACCCGATTGATCGCACGATCCCGCTCGCTCGGCTTCCACTTGCTAGCTACGACGAAACGACGATTTCTCGTCTCTCGCTCTACCGGTAGTAACGTGCACCGTACTTTCCGCCGCGAATGTTCCGGGATCGAAGAAGCTGCCGCACATCCACTGGCCGCATTTTACATCGAGGTAGCGACAACGGTGAAATCCAGGTGCGTAACCGTGCCGCCTCGCGATGCGCTTGCCCGGTTTCCTCTCACCTGCAATTCCCTCTCACCTTCGGGGGTCGCAGCTCACCTGCTACCACGCAAGCAAGCGATCACCCGCGACCCGTGTCGGCACGACGATTCCTCTTCGAGTCGAGGTCTTGCCACCACGATGACCGATGGTGCCGATGGGGGGCCAACATCGAGGAACAAGCGGAGGAAACGAGCGAATGGAAACACGCCTACGAAACGAAGCCAAGTCTCTCGAGGGAGAGACACTCTATTTTTTCCTTTTTTTTTTTTCTTCGTTTGGCAGCAAGATGGAAAAGAAGGCAAAGGCGCGTGAGTGGCGCGTGGCGTGTCGCGTGGTGTGGCAGCCCTCGTTTGATACGATCCAGCGATCACCGATTACTCCTCGCTGGATGCTGTAATAGCGTTCTATCCTCTAGCTGCTGACTCTCCCTCGATCTGTCTCTCTCTTTCTCTCTCTCTCTCTCGATCACTCAATCGCGCACGACTAACGACCACCAATCGGCCTACCTGAAGGAATTGTATCCCTGTAAGAACCGCGACCCATATCAAACTGTTGGTAAACGTGCGCGTCGACGGTGCCCGGCGCAGCGTCGACCGGTGACTGAAAAAAACGTCGAACATCCTTGTCGACGAGCGAACGAAACGCATGCGCGACCCCTACGTCTACGCGCCCCTCGCTCATCCGCTTCACGACCTTCCTCGGCATCCTCCCTCGAGAAGATCAGCAGATCCTCCTACTCTCCTCTCTCTTTCTTTCCCCCTCTTTCTTCCTACCTCCCTCCCAACCCCCTCTCACTCGCGCCATTCCTTTCCTCCCTCTTCCTCTTCCTCGTTTCTTTCTTTTCTTTTTTTTCTTTTTCTTCTCTCTCCTCCGCCCTCGGGTTTGTTCGCGGTAACCTCCGTACTAGTCGCGGACCGTGGATAATACACTCGAGCCGTGCAGAAGAAAGGAAGAGATAATTAGAAGCGGCAGAAGGAAGCAAGCAAGCGCAGATCGGGGAGGAGGTGGCCTTATAGTTTACACCTCTCGAGATCTTGTCGCGTTCGTTTTCATTGCCAATAAAGTGCCTCGCGTGCTCCCCTTGTTCCTTCCCTTCTTAGACAATGGGGTTTTAATCTGGTTGGTACTGGGAATCTTCCGTTAGTAAAATTCGTCGCATATCGACGATAATCAAGAACCGAAGATGCCGCATTTGGCGTCGGAATCAGATGTGAATTGTATCTTCTTCTTTTCTTTTCTTTTCCTTTTTTTTTCAAGTAACGAAGCTGGTACTTGATTGTTGATGAGACAGTGTCAGCACATGATCTTCCAAGGTTTAAGTTTAAAGAAGACGAGCCGAGATTATCTTGACAGTATAATCATACACAATGGCTATTTAGAAAATTAGTAGTTGTACTTGCATATTTGTATATATATACTTCTGTGTATTTCTTTTTTTTTTTTCAATTATTCATTCATGCACTATCAAAGGATGATGTACAGATCTGTTAATACCAAATGTCTAATCCTTTTTCTGTTTCAGCTTCCTTTTCGTTTCAACTTAACTGTTTGCCTTTCAATCTCTCTCTTCCTCCAGTGGTTTATATGTCGTATCTATTTTTGGTTGGAATTCAACGCGAGATTTTCCACAGGCAGGCACCGTGTTATGTATCGTTCCTAATAAAAGTTCACCAATGATCAAGAACCGATATATGAAAACAGGTATCGTCTCCGTTTGCAATAAAATTGTAGTTGCTTTTAATTATTGCATCAAGTTATTGGGGTACAAATCATGGACGAAATTTTTGCACGCTTTACTTTATTAAAACAAAAACACATTCATATGTACAACTATGTTCAACAAGTATTATTAGCCTAAAATTCCATTGATATTGCTGCAGATTATGATACAATACATACATGATACAATACAATATTGAGATTCGTTAAATCTTATTATTTTACTCTTTTCCTAATTTTACTATTAAACGATCTCTCTCCTTTGTTGGAAATCTTGAAAATCTCATTTCTTATTGGTTAATCGATGATTAATTAATAAACCTTTATTTAAATAAAACTTTAATTATTACAGTTCACCTATCAATGTTGTTAACTGTTCAGAGCTCGTAACGGGCAAAGAGCATGTGCGATGTTTGCATACGTAAGCTGTTGCTCGATTATCCACAGGTTTCAAATTTCTGAGATGTTCGTTTTTACGTAATAGCATGCCGCCCGTTTCATCGGGATCAATTAAAAGAAGAATCCTGTTTGGTATTAAACGTTTATATATAACTTGAAGTAAATCATCGGTGTCCTTGGCACCTCGTTTTCCAACCACATAAATCTAAAACGCAAGCTTGTCAAACTTCTGAGAACTGAATATACCCGATGCATTATCAGTTTGTCTATACCTGAGTTGCATCATCGTGATAGCGTACAAGTGCTGATATTAATTGTGGAACCGCAATAGGCCTTTGCATCAGCAAGTGTCTGAATGCTCGGAAAAGACGAACAGCCTTATCCTTGAACTCGCTACGATCGAAGTAATCTGCCAACCTCAGTAAATTTTCGGCAGCAATCGAGTTACCGGATGGTTCCGCTCCGTCATAAGCTATGCACGAGATTCTTAAAATACATGTCCGATCTTTCTCTTTCATTGATATTATGATCTAATACTAAAGTCGTAAACACAACGATCACTGAATGCAATGAAACATTTAACAGCTATAAATATTTCAGTTTACTACAGAAAGTTGATTTCTTTGTAGCTGAATGCAACTATAACTATTACATGTATTATACAAAGCCATGAAAACTTCAATTAACAAATATCCTGAAAATACTTAAACATACCTTCTTTGAGCCTGAGAATTATACTTGGATCGCTCGATGTTGTTGAAAAATATCCTCCGTTTGTTTCATCCCAAAAATATTGATTTTGAAGATCCTGCAATTTTTCGGCAAATTCCAGCCATTCATCGTTTAAATCCGATTCGTATAAATCTAACAATCCTTTTATGACAAACGCATAGTCGTCTAAAAATCCAGGTATAGGGGTGCTCCTAAAAATAAATTAAAATGTACATTGTACAATTCAATGATACTAATATACTCACATTTGCGTAATTGTGTTTTTCTCGTCACGATAACAACTATGAAGCAATATATTCTTAGTTTCATCGAAAAGATATTGCTTAATAAATTTTGCGGCATCTACCGCGCGCTCAATGTATTGTTTATTATTTATTGCCGCTCCTCCAAAAGCTAAACCACTTATTATAAGACCTAAATCCACGTTGGTCATTAATTTAATGATCAAAATCCAAATTTTATATATGTTAGTATATATAAAATAAAAGATGTAAGTAATATAGTAGTAATAAATATAAAAAATATGTAAAATAACTTTTCACCATTCCACGCTGTAATGATTTTATCATCCAAGTGAGGTCGGGGCCTTGCAGATCTAGCTTTATATAAGATGGAACATGCTTCTTTCAAATATGTCTTAGTTTCTTCAACAGATAGATTGACATGTTTAGCAGTCTCTTCAATTTCATTATGTGTTATTAATACATTTTTTCCTCTTAGCTCTCCATGTGGATCCTAATAAATAAAAAGTTATCAACTAAATGTAATTATATACATATATAAGACAAGAGTTAATGTTACAAATAAGAAAAAATATATGTAGCATACTTGGTATGATTTTACATTTCCGGATTCCTTTATGTTGAAATGATGACAAAAAATATCTGAAAGTTTAACGTGACTTTCGTCAGAAATTTTTTTACTCAAAAGTGACTTAATTTCCGTCGCAGACCACACATAAAAAGCACCCTCTTTTTTCGTATGTGCATCATGTGTAGGATAAGAATCTGCATCTTCAGCACTATAAAATCCACCTTCCTAAAAAATCATAAAATAAATAAATATAAATAGTCATAATTTTCAAAACAGAATAAATACAATACCTCATGTCGAAGATCTCTTATTACATATGTAGCGACATCATCAATAATTTCGACAAAAAAATCATCTTTCGTTGCAAGATACGCATCTGCATATGATTTCATTAATTGACCCTGATCGTATAACATTTTTTCAAAGTGAGGAACATGCCACTCGCTATCAGTAGCATATCTGGAGAAACCCTATTTCAGAATAACAAACATTACTACAAAATGTTTTTGATAGTTAATTAGAATTGTAGTGTAATTATAGAGTAATTATATCTAACAATTAAAATTCCTACCTGACCTACATGATCATGGATACCACCGAAAGACATTTTTTTTAAAGTATACACAGACATATGCAAGCAAGATCGTGCAGACTCCGCATCAGGTTGACGTGCATACATATGAAATAAAAAATTAAAATTTACTGGCTGCGGAAATTTTGGTGATTGCATATATGTCGAACTAAAACCACCATATTCTGGTTCAAATTCATTTACCAGTTGTTGAATACAAATTTTACTACATTCTAATGGAGGTACATCATGTATCTATATAAAGATAATTATATATTAATAAATGTATAAAACGTAAAAAATTATTATTTTATTATAATTTACCTTAGACGTATGTGGAATTTTAGAAATATTTTGTAAAGTTTCAAGATTGGTAGAACCAATCTCTGTAAGTTTACTTCTGGACTGATTCCACTAAAAAATATAAAATACAAAGAAACTAATATGACATATTAATCTAATCATGACATGTATTATAGATTTACTTAAATGAATGAAATATGAATTGTTTTTATTGCCATATCTATAATTTTTCAAATGATGCTTGATTCTGCTAAGATTCTGTACCTTATGAGCGACATTGAGTAAAAGTGTCTTAAATCCTGTTTGTCTAGGTGTGTCTTCTGGAGGAAAATAAGTCCCTCCAATAATAGGTTTTAAATCAGGGGTAAGAAAGACACTCATTGGCCATCCACCATGACCACTTGTTGCCTATGACAAATGATACGTTTTTAATCTACATTACATTTACTTAAAATATAGTATAATTTAATCACAATTACTTGCTTGTATAAAAGTCATGTATATCCTATCGATATCTGGTCTCTCTTCCTTGTCCACTTTTATATTAATAAAATTCTTATTCATTATTTCAGCAATTTCTTTATTTGTGAAAGATTCTTTTTCCATAACGTGACACCAATGACACGTAGAATAACCAACAGATAAAAAAATACATTTGCTTTCTACCTTTGCTTTTTCTAAAGCTTCGTCACACCATGGATACCAATCAACTGGATTAGTAGCATGTTGTAGTAAATATGGTGATTTTTCCAAACTCAAACGATTTTTCTCCTGCATTCTTACATTTTCATCATTACTACTTGATGCCATATTCGCAAATAATGAAAATATCACTGACCTCTGATTTATCCTACAAAATTGTATATTTATTTCTTAATATATCTGATTACTTTTATAATACATAGAAATAACAAAAAATTTAAGGCAAAAGATAAACAAAGGAATGTAAACATGTGTCATGTAAATTAAACGACAAAGCAGCACTCATTTTCATTGACATCTCTTCAATACACTTTTATTAAATGAAAAGTTATTACAAATATTACATAAATTTATGTTTTAATATTCTACCTGTTTAGTTGAGATACGGTTAGTGACGCAAAAGTATTTTGAGACAAATATGATCTTATCCCAAGATTCTGAATCCACAGCTTTTTAGACAATGAAGATGTACAATCAATTATTGACAAAAAACAATATCTTGCCCAAATCATAACACTCCTCTCAAATATATATATCTAATAAAAACAAAAATTCTGGAAATAAATAATACAAAGATTTTTTAACTTTCAACATATCTATAAAATATATAGTAAAATATTAAGCTTTGTTTTTTCCATTGTGTGTTTATAAAATCTAATTGTTAAGCTTTAATATTGCAAATGTATTTAATAACCAATATTTCTTTCATTGAATTATAAAAATTATTCAATTTAACCATATATTATACTGTTCTTTCTATCTTTTATGCATTTAATACATACTGTAAACTTTTAAATTTTATTTTCAAATAACAGAAATTTTATAGTAATATTTTACATGTGTTACAAGTATCTACATTTTCGTTGACAAAATCAATTTTCATAAAAATTTTAATTACTTTGTTAACAGATCATTCAAAATTAGTTAATAATTAATTTTAACTTGTGCAATTATAATTAGAAATAACTTGATTAGTTTAGACCATGAAAATATGTATTTACACGGATTGAATTTAACATGTATCAAATCCAATTACTATGAATTACTACGAAATTGATCACCATAGTACATGTAAATATGAAAAATGGCGAATTTCTATTATGTACAACTTGTATAAAATACATTGTTTCTTTACTACAAATAAATTATATAAACTTAAATATTATCATTCAATAACAAAAAAAAAAAAAAAAAATACAGTGTACAGGAAATACTTTTTTTGTCAAAGTTTATTAGAAACTTTAAAGATGGATCTAAAAATAGTTAAAATAATTAACAGATCATTTTTACTACATGACATTCACTCTATATATATATATTTACTACAATATATATTTTCATATAAAATTATATTCTTATACCATAAAATAGTGAAACATTATTTTCTAACTAAAGTTTTAAATATTACACACAAATAATACAAAGTTTCAAATAATGAACAAAAGAAAGAAAAATGATAAATATAGAACATGAATAAAAATTACATATCTATGTTTTACAATATGCTATGCTGCGATTTAAAATTGCACTGAAAAATATTTAACTACTATAATTACATAATATAACTTATTGTTAGTAATTGAATTTTATTACTTTTAATAAGGAATTTTACGGAAATATAATTAAAAGCTTCGAACTTTCTTTTACAAAAAATATATGTATATAAATATAATTTGTATGAATGATTTATGCAATTCACGAAGTAAATTAAAGTTAATTAAATAAATTTGTTAAAAGACGTGTTTACATGTATTATCTAAAAATGTATTACATGTATTATCTAGAATATATATTATACATACATATTGGTTCATTATTTGTTCTTATTCCAAATATTCCAAATTAGTAAAAAGTGATGATTTTGTGTTAATTACATGTAAGTGTATTCTAAAGAGTTTATGTAAAAAATATTAAAAAAAAATTCACTAAAGAGCTTATGGCTAATGTACAATGTATGCAACATTAAATGATAATTTGAAACATCACAAAATTTCAAACATGGCTGCCGTACATCGAGAAGCTATCCAAAAACAAATTCAACAAGACTGGGCAAATCGAGAATATATCGAAGTTATAACTGGTAGCATCAAAAAGATTACCGACTTCCTCAATTCCTTTGGTAATTATTTAACATTTTTATGAGATAACGTGTATATGATGTATTTTACTTTCATATTGGAATATTTAAAAAATATTTTGCAGAATAATAAACAATATCTCATACTTCTCTTATAACACATTTAAAATTTGCTTAAAATTGCATAATAGTTAATTCACGATTAAACCATTTTCATTTTTAAATTTAACTTTAAAATCAGAATATAATACCATAAAAATAAACAAGATTTTAGGAAACAATGACTTTACATACTAATGATTATAGAAAAAAATCAATGAATTACACACACACTCAGAAGATCAAATGAATGAAAAAAGTTCATCTAAATCTACATTATAACATGACATTTATGAATAAGATTTTAAAGGTTAACATACAAAATCTAAAAACATTGTAACTTGTTCAACTTAATTTTATAAAAATACATATTCAAATAATTAAGTAAAACCTATTGTATATATATGATATATATAGTATATATATGATATGTATAGAAATAATCTTTTGTATTTTTAAACAAAATGCCATTGGCCAACTTGCATTTAGATGTATCCATAACTAATTATTTCTTAACTCACATAAAGTATGTATATTTTGATAATTATGATTTATATAAATTTTTTTTTATAATCATACTGCTTTCTTCTTCATTATTTCCTTGGATCGTTAAACTGACAATAATGCTTTAAATAAAACTAACATTATTATAATTTATTCCGTTAGACATGTCTTGCAGATCAAGAATAGCTGTTCTCAATGAAAAACTTACAATATTAGAAAGAAGAATCGAATATCTGGAAGCTTGTGTAAGTTATGATTTATAATTTGAGTTTGCATGTTATAAAAAATATATAATGTATGTTATATTTTATATAATTATTATTTTTCAGGTTACAAAGGGAGAAACATTAACTTAAATTAATCATCAATAAAGTAATTTAATTTAATTTATAAGATTTTTATATTTATTAGAATTCTATATAAATAAATGTACAATAAACATAATTATATACATTTGTATTATTAATGCTACAATATATAGCAGATACTACATAGTATCTACTATATGTATAGTCTTTATTCACTGGGAACCAATGTAAACCAACTGTTTGATTTACGTTTAATATAAGGTTCTGATGGTGGCTTTTGTTTTGACCATGAATACATATCAAAACCTTGTCCATCGGTTGGAAATGGATGCCACTCGGTACTAAATTCATATGCCAATGCCCATGAAAGAAGAGTCAGAGCACCAACAAAGTGACAACAAGGAACCAAAGGCAAAAACATCCGTACCACTGGAGTAGTACATAATGCTGTAAAATATATAATTTTTTATATTAATTTTAAATTTATATTAAAAATAGAATAAAATTGTCAAAACAATTTCGTTTGATAACAATAGATTATAAAAGAAAGTTTTACTTACCTCCTATTGCATAATTACCAGGTGAATCTTCATTTCTTATTTTACTTGCAAAATAAGTACCACTAAGATAAAAAAAACCAAAACCACACACTGGAATTGTAGCACGTGCTATTGTATAAAATGTACTGGGCGTTTCAAGTCCTAATGGGTGCTTGAAAGCCTGTATCCAAACACCCAAACCTACGCCAGCAAATAAAGGTACTTTCATTTTTTTCATCCATCCAGTAACTGGATTTTCATCTTCGTTTGCCAAAAAGTTGTAAGAAATCATATCTGAAATAATCATTTGAATTTATGTTAATAAAATCATTTTAAAAGAATTATAGAAACAAATTGTATTTAATTACAACTGTTCAATTTCATTACTAATGCATTTTAAATTAATGAACTTCCGAATCGATCATTAAGGCAGATCATTGCTTTTGATAGACAAATGTGTATAAATGTTTTTAAACATTGCAAGTGAAAATTTCTTAAAATTGTAAGAATAACATAATAGTAAACTAATTGAAATGTACTGATTAATGAAAAAAATGTATTACCTGTTTATAAATATTATTGTATGTAGTGTTATCTTTGATAGGTTAAAGTATCCCTAAATTACGTAATATGAAAGAATTTTGTAATAGATTTGCAACTCTATTGTTTAATCAATTATGCTTAATTTTGCACAATTCTTAAATGTATTAAAAAGATATTAAAAGCTAAGAACTCTGTATTATTTTCTCCATGAAGTAGCTTACACATTAATTAGTTACTAGATACATCAGTACAACGACTACTGAGTGTACTGACATCACCTGGTTAAAAAGATTGTTATTTAACACATGTTATATGAGATTGACTCGAAGATAGCAACATTTGAAATATTTTTGACATTTTATTGAAATTACAATTACGTTTACAATACAATAAATTCTTCTAAAATCAAATGTATTTTAGTTAGATTTCTAAATAAATATGGCGTATCACTAACAGTATTGAACTTGGTCGCAATCACAATTTAGTTTCCTAATATTGTTATATAAATATCAAAAACTTTTGTTTCTGACAAAATATAGAGAATAAATAGAGAAATTAGCGATATTATTAAAAAGAAAAAAATGTTACGCTTAATTTGGAACGATTTATTAAAACAGGTATAGGTCAGAATTATTCAAAAATCAAACAGCATTGTTGAAAAAATATTTTTGCATTTCAAGAAATCATTAACCATTAACCATTTTGTTTCAACCTTATTTCAGAACCAGAATTTAGTGCTATTACGATGCCTAAGCACAAAGGCAAAAAATAATACATCAAAGATAAACGTAAATGTTGCAGGACTTAGTGAGAAGTGCTGTAAAGTTCCAAATAAGCGTAAGACAAATATACTTGCTATTTAATAATCATTTTCTTTTTTAGTATTAGATAAAGAAATTTATATAATTGAAATTACTTTTCTGCTTCTTTTAAATAATATATGTGAAATATTTGAAAAATCATAAAAACATTAGTATTTGAAAAACCATAAAAATTTTTGTTAATAATAGCTACAATAGACATGAAATGATTTTTATATTCTCAAAATAGATTCTTCCTGCAAGTGAACAATTTTTAAACAAAAACTTAAGAAGATAAATATCGTGTACAAACATTATGAATTTTAGTCTTTTAAAGTTTAATATAAAATGCAAAATACAAGAAATGTTCTTTAAAATTTGAAAAGTCATTTAAGATTCAATATGTTTAATTGCTTTATATATATATATATATATATATATATATATATATATATATATATATATAATATTTAGAAAAAAAAAA